CCCGCGGGGCCGCAGCGGGACGTTCGCGGGCGCCGCCGCATTGGCCAGCCGCTGCGGCACGGACACGCACCCTCCGGCGGCGGCCGCGGCTCCGGAGCCCGCGCTCCCGGCCGCCCCTGCAGCCCGGGCCCCGCGCGCGTCCGCCCATGGCCCTCGGGCCGCCGGCCCTGCCAGGCCTGCGCGTAGCCTCCGCCACTTGCCGGGGGCCGCGAAGCCCGCGACTGGGGCGAGATGCTGAACGGCTCCCGTCTGGACAGAGCTCTTAAGATGTCCCTGCCCCGAAGGTCAAGGATTCGCTCGTCCGTAGGTGAGAGGGGAGGGACTCGGGGAGGGAGGGTCGGCGGGGATGGCGCGGGCGCTGTTGGCGACACTGCCCCGCCCTCTGCCCGGCCTCCCCCTCCCTCGGATCCTTTGGCCGCAGGATCCACCCGTGCTACGCGCTGCCCTCAGCTGGGAGGCTGGGGGGCTGGGCGCCACTACACCTGCGAAGCCGTTAAGGTTCAAAGGCCTGCGAGGGGGCCCGGGCATCAGAGACCCCGGCCCGCCCCTGGCACAGGTGCGCCTGTGAGCGCTCAGGCCCGCCCGCCCCAGCGCGGGGAGGCGGTGGGGTGGCTGTGACTCAGGGAGCAGTGCCGGGTCGTCGCCCACCGTGGTGGGCAGGGCTGGTGGGCGCAGAGACCATCTCGCCTCTCCCGCTGTCGCCCGGCCTTGCCGTTTGCAATGTTTGCCGCAGGGCTCGGAGGGAGCCAGAGGGTCACACGAGTGTTTTTCACTTCAGGGCCCTCGGGCCTCGTGCGTGCCCACCGCACAGCCACCCAGCCCCGGTGGGGATCGCCTGGCACACAGCCCGCAGGTGGCACACAGCTCCTGGGCTTTGTGCCGCCTAATCGTTTAAAGCCGTCCACCCAGTGCTTCAGACAGTATTCCCCATCAACACGTCGCTAGACGCCTGTATTATGCAGTTGGATGTTATGTGATTATGATACATGACGGGTTCCCCAGACCCTTAGCTAATGAAAAATTGAAAGGGAGCTTCAAAAACAATAGGATTTCTTACCCTTTTAGGATTCCCAGCAAGTCTGTAGGTAGATCTTTGATATGAAGAAGGTACAGGGTTTGCAATTTGGAGCTGGGGTCACTTGTAATCTTTGTGTTTCTTGTTTTGAGAAAATGGGCATATAAAAATCAGTGACTTTACTATTTCTGTAGTTGAGTAACGTGAGAGGGAAACAGCTTATCAGGTAATTTGGGCCAGTGTTTCTTAAATTCGAGTAATATAAGGGCACCTTTAAATAAATTTTGACAGGAATCCCAGTGTGAAAGGATCACGGGGCTGGCGGGCTGAGACCGGACTGTGGGGCCCGAGGGCTGAAGCAGAGAGCACAGTGGGAGGGGACAGCAATAATCCAGGTGCCAGATGGTTCCTGTGGCAGAGCTAGGTGGAAGAGAGGGGTGAGCACACCCTCATAGGTTTGAAGATAGAGCCCCTGATTTGGAGGTGAGGCTTAAGTAACAGGAGAGTCAAAGTTCGGGCTGAGGCTTTGGGTCTGAGAAACTGGAAGAATGTGCCTCTTACTGAGATGGGGAAGACTGCAGAAAGAACAAGGCTCTGTCTTTTGTGGAGGGAGGAGTGGTAGTCAGAGATTTGGTTTTGAACATAGGAAGTGCCTACTAGAGAACCAAGTGGAGATGTTTGGTAGAGAGTTGGATTTAGGAGCCTGGAGTTCAGGGAACTGTTCTAGACCAGAGATAGAAATTCGTGAGTCCTCAGCAGGACAGCTCCATGGGTGATGCCTGCGATTGCCTTAATGCACAGCTGCTGCTGTCTTGAAAGTCTTACTAATTTTTGCACAAGGAGCCTGCATTTTCATTTTGCAATGGTCCCTGCAGATTACATCATCAGTGTGTATAGATGTGGCCAAAAGGAGAGGGGTCCCTGGACATGCTAACATTTCAAGGTCATGGAGATTAGAGCAACAGCAAAGGGGCTGAGAGGATGGCCAGTGAGGTCAGGAAAGACCCCAGGAGGGGTGCTGAGCAGCTTGGGGGGGGGGACAAATATGCAGGAAAAAGGGAGTGTTTAGCTGTGCCCAGTGCTGCTGAGAGCTCAAGAAAGATGAGGCCTGAGACCGCCTGCTGGATGTAGAGATGTGGAGGTCATCGGTGACCTTGCAAAGAGCTATTTTTGTGTAATTGTTGAGATGAATGTCTATAGAGCAGTTTTGAGAGATGCTAAGAGGACAGATATTGGGAACAGCAAGTCTACAAAACCCTTTTGGCTAAATTTTGTAGAAAGAGGGGAGAGCAAATCGAGGGTAGCTGGAGGAGGATATGCGTTCCAGAGAGGATGTTTTAAGACTAACATTGCAATCATACAGTTGATGGCATGGATGTCAAAGTAAGGCCTTTTTAGGGAGTAGGGAGGGACAGCGATCTGTGGTCAACAATGAGAAGCAGGGTCATCAGGGTAGCGCATGAAGGCCAGAAGCCAGAGGTGGAGGCTATGGGGCCTCTTGTTGATGACAGGCTGCGAGTTTTAGAAGACAGAGAGGATGGTGTAAGAGACAGAATCTATTTAGAATACTGACATACTGTGTGAGGAAGGGGGAGGACCTGGATAGTGTGGGCTCTCTGGGGTGACTCAGTGAACTTGGGCCAGTTTGGATGATGACTAAGGCAGACAGAGGTGGTGAGGCTGTGAGTGTTACGAGGGGAGGGTTGGTTGGAAGCTGAGGGCTGACCCAGGAGTGTCCTGAGCTCTGAAATCTCTTCTTTTTTCCAGTTGATAGAGATGGGAACCAGGAGTGGGGCATTGCCATTGGCAGAATCAGCACTCAAAGCTTTGGGCATCTTCTTCACCCGTTCTGCAAAAATGTCTTGGCCCTTTTTAGTCCTTTAGTGGTCCATTTTTTTTTTCTTTGACAGGAAGTAGGATGTATTGGTGGGCATGAGTAGGGAGAGGGCAGCACCGAGACTGTCAGTGAGTGCAGGGCCCACCATTTGTCCGGGGCCACAATTGGGGATGTACTGGCCCCACAGCCATCTGGGATGAGCTGCTTTCCATATGTATTTTTAAAATAGCCCTTTTTGAAAACAAAGACAAAAACATCCTGTTAGGATTTTGGTTAAATTTGCATTAAGTTTACAGATTAATCTGGAGAGAATAGACATTTGAAAAATGCTGTGTCTTCTTAATTGCAAATGTGATATCTGTCATCATTTAATGTCTTTTCTTAAAGTGTCATAATTTTTTTCATGAGGTTTCTATGCATTTTGAAAGGTTGATTCCAAGATACTTCTGTTTCTGTCATGCATGGGATTATTCCAAACTTACATTTTATTTATTTTATTTATTTTTTATTTTTTTAAAGATTTTTATTGGGGAATTGGGGGAGGGGAACAGACAAGTTGCTGTCGTTTTGTCTTCAGTCTAGTTGTGCAGGACGTTGCTTCACTGGCCCAAGTTGGCACCATCATTGCGCTCTTCCCAGGCCAGGCAGATCAGTTGCCGGCTTCTGGACAGCCACTCACTGCAGCTCCTGGCCGCTCACGCTGGCTGCTGGTTACATATGGTAGCCCATGGCAACCCACTGCCACAGGGGCTGCAGCCTACGCAGTTCCCGGCGACTCATGGGCAGCCCAGCTCCAGGTTGAGCTGTTGTTCAGCATCTTAGCTGTAGAGGGCAGTGTCACTGGTCCTCATATGTGGGATCCGAACCGGGGCCCTCTTGTGTCCCAAGCGAGTTCTTAACCATTGCGCCACTCAGCCAGCCTCCAAACTTACATTTTAAATGGGTTGTTGCTGGTGTCCAGGAAAGTTACTGTGTTTTTCTATTGATTTTATTTATTTTCTATTGATCCAACAACCCAGTGAATTGTCTCATAAATTTTGATAGCTTATGGATTGTTTTAATTTTCTGTGACAGCCTAATTATCTGCAAATTATAGTTTTGTTTCTTCCTTTATCATCGTTATAACTGTTATTTTTTTTCTTATTTGACTATATTTGCTAGTACTGTCAGGAAAAGGTTGACCAGAAGTTCCATGCTTGCTTTGCTCATAGGATACTACAGGGAACGCTTCCAGCATTTCAAGTTGAGTGTAATATTTACTGTTGGAGCTCGGTAGCTGTAATACACTAAGGAAGTGCTCTTCTCTTCCTACCCAGAACTTCAGTAAGGGCAGAGGTTCATTTAGTGTGTCCTTTAAGATAATCACAAGGGACGAATAAAATACCTAAAGATTCCCAGATGGTTGTGGAGCCTCTCCCTTTCATCCCTGGATCTGGGTTCATTAAAAGTGAATCATGGCACACCTAGCAGAATGGCTATATTAAGCAGTGACATCACCAAATACTGGCAAGGATGCAGAAAAACTGGGTCACTCAGACATTGTTGCTGGGGATATAAAATGATACAGCCACTCAGGAAAAATGTTTGGCCATTTCTTGTAAAAGTAAACATGTAACTTCCATTAGCCACGGCAATTATATTCTTGGGTGTTTATTCCTGAGAAATGGAAATATCTTCACACAAAAACGTGTTATATTGGTATCCATACAGCTCTATGAGTAATAGCCAAAAAATCTTCAATGGCTGGATGATTAAAATGTGGTATGTCCAAACGATGGAATATTACTTGGCAGTTAAAAAGAAACCAACTACTGGTATACCCAACAACTTGGATGGATCTCTAGAGAATGTGCTGAGTGAAAAAAACCCAATCTCAAAAGCTTACATGATATGATGTCTGATCCTACATATATAACATTCCTGAAATGACAAAACTATAGAAGTGGAGAACAGATTAGTGGCTGCCAAGGGGGAAGGCGGGTGTGGGGGTGGGAAGGATAAAAGGGTAACCCAAGGGATCCTTGTGGGATAGATATGTTCTGTCTCTTGACTTACCCAATATCAGTATCCTGGCTGGGATATTGTACTATAGTTTTGAAGATGTGACCAGTGGGAGAAACTGGGGAAAGGACCCAGAAAACCATCTCTGTATTGTTTCTTACAATTGCGTGGCAATCTAAAATGATCTCATAATAAAAAAACAAAGTAAACCATAGTAATTTTTCATCAAAAGAAAATACTTAATTGCCATGCTTCGGATCTTGTAATATATTCCCATTCAAGACATTTGAGTTAAATTATGATAATTTCATTGATAGGATGTTTACTTGGGGCAATTAAGTTGTACACCACCTACTTCTATAACACCACAGAGCCTGTGTATTTTGGAAGCTTAGTGCTTGGCACAACACTTCCTATTTGTTATATTTTGGTGGGGTCTGGAGCAGGGTGAGCT